AGAAAAAGGCCCTTGGTACTGGGGTCATTATTGCAATAGTCGTTTTGATTCTGCTCATAGTTGCTATTTGCTGTGGATTAGTGTACTATTTCGTAACTATGAAACAAAAGAATATGCACGATGATGTCATAATCACACCATAACAAAGATCATATCAACTCGATCATATTTGTATTTCCTTTTTTTAATATTGTGATTATGTAGAAATAGACTATCTCAGCATCACTGAACTAATAACATGGCCAATTCTCCATGTTTCAGTACTTTACTTAAAACTGACATCTTAATGATCATTGATCTATGATCTCCTTTCTCCTATTTAAAAAAAATAGATTATCCTTCCCCTATGTTTATGGTAACACATTTACTGATCCACAATGTTGGAATGGTGTTGGGTAATACACTACAAGAAGAATTCGACGCAAATGTTGATGCGACTGCGTTTACTGATCTCAAGATGGATCACACGAACTGGCTTGTATTTGAGGGGGTGAAATTCAATGATGATGATGAGATGACTACAATGAATGTCTACTGGGCTAATGAAGTGGACAAAGAGAAAGTACACTATACTCTCAAGAATCATAGTTTGGCTAAACTTAAGCTAAAAGGTGCTGTTGAACAAATATCACACAACAATAACGAAATTGGTGATGCTGATGATATTAGAATATTCTTAAAGAACAAAACCAAAGATAATGATGAGTTCAAAGAGCTACAGGACAAAGCATACGCAAAGGTCAAGGAATTGAATGCTGATGCAATCAAAATAGTACCAAGATACCTGTGGCCTTTCATCCTACAATACATCGATGATTTAGAGTTCATGGATTCATCCGGCAAAGCAATTGATTCAATATCACTTCTTGAACGACGCAATGCAATCATTGATTTGGTTAAAGACGAAAACGTGTGTGTGAATTTGAGAGAGGTTCTTACAGGAGCAATAGGTGCGTTGAAGGGTGGCAAAAAGAAATTCAAGTTCTACTTGACATTCAAGCAGGGAGCAGCGGAAAAGAAGACTGAAATAATGGAAGTGGATATTACAGACGACGATAATTTCACTTTGACTGGAGTGGACGTTTTGGATGATCCAGTGTTCAAGACTCGCAAGAAGCATACGACAACAAAGACGAAGCCTAAGACTAAGCCTAAGCCTAAGACTGAGACAGGCGAAAAGAAGTCATCAAGTAAGGAATTGGGCGCATCCAAATCCAAGCTTAGTAAAGGAACAATTGCACTGCTAGTGATACTGGCAGTGTTGGGCCTGGCTGTGATTGGTGGATTGGTCTACTACTATCTGGTAGTAATGAAGCAGAATCCAAAGAAAATGAGTATGGAAAACAAGTGATTGGATAATAAATGATGGGTGAATAATATGGTAATACTTAGTTAGAGCAGTCGTATAGTGTCTTATAATACCTCTAAGTCTCTAAAAGACAGTAATTGTATTTATATAAATGAAATACAGGTTCCTTTCTAC